TGATAAAGATTTGGTAGATTTAACTAAAAACATTCAAAAACTTTTAGGTAGTAGACATCCTTTCTTGAATAACGTTAGTAAATATTATTTTAAATCTGAAGGAAAGCGTATAAGACCCTTACTTGTACTATTGATGTCTCAAGCGACAAGCATTGCAGCCAAACAATATAAAACAAGTGCAACGGACTTTTATCAAATTACAGATAAACCCTTGACGACACATAATGATATATTATCTTGTAATAATAAGGATACAATTTATTATCCAACATTTTCATCTTCTGGGACGACTATCCTTCCAACACAGCGCCGTTTAGCGGAAATAACTGAAATGATACATACAGCATCTTTACTTCATGATGATGTTATTGATAATTCTCAGATGCGTCGTAACGATATTTCCGCAAATTCAAACTTTGGAAATAAAATGACAATTCTTGCGGGTGATTTTCTGCTTGCTCGTGCTTCTATTGCTTTAGCACGCTTACGAAATCCAGAAGTAATCGAGTTGATAGCTACAATTATTGCTAATCTTGTTGAAGGTGAATTTATGCAGCTTAAAAATGGTAAAGATGGTACTATGTCAATATTCGAATATTACATGGAAAAAACGTATATGAAGACGGCGAGTTTAATGGCAAAAAGTTGTCAGGCTGCATCAGTATTAGGAGGTGCTACTTTAGAAGTTTGTGACATTGCTTATACCTATGGTCGTAATTTAGGACTAGCTTTTCAGGTAAGTTATATATAGTTACGTTTGTGTTGTTTTTTTTTTTTCTTTTTTGGTTTCTGATACTTTTATGTATTATTCAGTTGATAGATGATATGTTGGATTTTATGACCACATCCAAGGAATTAGGAAAACCAACAGGTGCAGACCTAAAATTGGGGTTGGCCACAGCACCAGTGTTATATGCTTGGGAAGAATATTCAGAGTTGGGACCATTAATCAAACGCAATTTTTCTCAAGATGGTGATGCCGAAAAGGTTGGACTTTCATTATTTAAAAGAATTGCAAATGAATGTTTATTGATTGAACTTGAAAATTTAATTTACTTTTTTTTTGTAGGCGCGAGGATTGGTTTACAAGAGTAATGGAATTGAACAGACAAAACTTTTAGCAGCATCTCATTGTCAAAAGGCTATCGATGCTATAACACGATTACCAAAATCTGATGCACGAAATGCACTAATTGAGCTTACGCAAAAGGTCCTTACCAGGAGAAAATAGCGGACAAAGGTAATTATAGTCAGCATATTCTGAATGCACACATCCTAAGTACAGGACTTATTAAAATTTTCTCTTTTATCTAAAGAATCATAACATTAAAATTCTTTAGAATTTAAAATTTTTTTATAGAAAAGGTTTGACTCTCAATTTGGCAATATAATTATGTCGAATAAAAAATTTGATGTTACATAGTATGAGTCATCATAAAGTTAATTTATATATAACATTATGTTTATATTGTATAAAATTGATCAATTATTTTTAAGAATTTTGGATGCAACTAGAAAAATTTATAGTTTGTATTATATTTCATTATGCCTTTTTTTCGTGATACTTGTTTTGTTTTTTTGAAGCGCGTTTTTCTTTTTATTTCTTCGAACTTTATAGTCTACAATATTTTTTTTCAAGTTCAAAAAAAAAAAAAACACGAAAAACAGAAAAGATATTAAAGTTTTGAATACGCAGTAATACAGAAATATACTTGGATAATTTGATATTTTTGTTTCTTGCACTTACAGTAATAAAACACCGGTTTAGAAAGTTTTATTAGAAATATGTTACGCGTTGTTACTTGGGCCAAACTAATATAATGCTTATAGTTTTTACCTCCCTAAATGCAATACCTCTATAAATGCAAATTTTTACATATAAGTCCGGTCGCAATGTATTTAGAGAGGTCTGATTGTATATATAATTTCCGCGGAAATTTCACCAAGTCCAGATAAAATAGTTCTGAAAGCATTTCAGGTGAATACATTCTAAAAATACTAATTCGTGTTTTTTCTTGAAGACTATCAGATCAAATTCGAGGAAAGTTAATTATATAAACCTTTAACAAATAGATTTAGTCGGTTATCGAGAAATCTGAATTTTTTTTTTAAAAAAATGAATACTTTATAGTCACTTAGATGCAATTTCGGTTGACTAAAGTAGCAACTTCAGCCAATTTGAATCTAACTAACCTTGAATTAAAAATCATGTATATGTTTGAATTGGATTTGATTTGAAATTCTTTTAAAAATTTTAAAAAATTTTACTATATTAAATCGACATTGTATCTTAAGAAAAATGTTCTAATCAAAATGACCTTAGTTTCATATAATGAAAAATTGTCTCAATAAATTTTTGAAAAAATAGCCACCAGAGTATAGTTTTGATTATAAATCTTCGAATTAGATATGTACCATAATTAGAAGGATTGCGACATAACGATAAATGAATCAAGTAAACCGTGCAAGAGACGACAACAATTTTGTTCTATTTTTTGAGAGTTAATATGTATTTGTATTATAGGTTATGAGACGTAAAGAAAAGCTTTTTTTACATTCTTATTGTGTAGCGTTTACAAAGTGTAATAAAATGGTCTTATGTGGGCCACAAATTTATTTATCAGTAACAGTAACGACTAATTTTTTTTAAATTAAATAAAAGTCTATTCATACAAATATTATATACCGTGTTATTATAAATTATTTAACCTACAAGAATCTGATTTTCGCTGCAAAATAAAGTTGCTAACTTTCTGTAGTTGTAGTAGTTGTAGCTTCTGGGTAGAAGTAGAAAGCGATACCAATGATTCCATACGATACCTATGTAAATATTAGGATTTTGATTAAATACAGAAATGCATTAAAGGAACGGAAAGTTTTGCGGACCTAAGTCTACAGTCATAGGCAGACTTTCGTATGATTGGCAGTTTAAATCAAATTAATTTTACATTATTTATACAGTTTAAAGTACTTTT